ATCTAAAATACCATTTATGCACAATTCCAAGATTTAAACATACTTGTATTCGGTCATACCGGAGTGCGCTATCTTTTGAATATAAATTTTGTTACTTACTTAGAATGAGTGAAAACGATCATGTCTTTTCAAATAACAATACTTTGCGAAAATCCATTATTCTAACTACTATTTTGAATCTAAAATTTTTCTGAATATGAGATATTGTTCAGTTTTTCGTGCTCTTTGCAATGAGATATTGATCAGAAACGTTGAACGAAAATTGTCGATTTTATTGATAAAAAACTAAAATATGGCGATTTTTTCGACTTTTTTCGCAAGTTTTTGGGAAAAATCTAATTTTTCCACAGAAAAAAACTTATTGAAGGAGGAAAAGCTTTTCCTATACTTAATCTTGACTGAAAAATTGATTGGAAATAGTCTGACGACGAAAAAAAATTATTTAGAACATTTTCTGTGTTTTGGTCATTTCCAACTCTGGCTATTGTGGGACCATTTTGATCCCGAGTTGCATCGATTTTGTCATTTTTGAACAATGCATCAGGTGCAAAATTGTTTGTTCTATTAAAATATCGAAACTCTATTATGGATTTCCGTTTGGTTGCTTAAAATATACAGATTTTTCCACAAAAATCTCAGCTTTTCAAAACCTCAAAATTTTAGTGTGACTACGATTTTAACTTTAAAAAGCTTTTAAATATCAAATTTTGTTCAGTTTTGTGCGCTCTTTCGAATGAAATGTTATTCAAAAAAATTCAACGAAAACTGACGGTTTTATACATAAAAAGCTGAAATAGGTCAATTTCCGGGTTTACACTTTTCTGATTTTATCGAGAAATTAAACAAAATCTAGAAAAAATTTCGGAGTGACAACACTCAATGAGGAAACGAATGAAAGCATCTGTGCAAGAGCAATCACAAGAGTTCACGCCTGAAACTAGTTTCATTGTATTTCTTTCATCCGAAACATACAGACGAAAAGAATTTTCTACCTACAAAAGAGAAACTAAGTAACTGTATTTGTCGGCATGTGTGCGCACATTGGCCAGCATGTGCTGTAGTAATCAGATAAATGATTTTTCCAAGTGTATGTTAATAACATTTTAATACTAAAAATCAACTAAATATTTTTCCGCCTTAATTAAATATTAGTCGGTTCAATATTCTTTGTTATGTAAATGTTTTTCCTTTACTTTAAAATCTTTTTAATAGTTTTCAGCATACCCCATCGATCCATACATAAAAAATTTGGATTAAGTGAAAAAAGAACTCAGACTTCTTCTATACATTCTGCTGTGGATCCAACCGGATCCCTAAACAACCACGAAGTCAAAAAGCCAGAACAGCCGTCAAGGGTTAACACTCCTGTTGTATTAGCTCCGCAGAGTGTCTACTTATTCCTTCCTCCAGCGATCGCTAATTATTGATATTAGAGCTCTGCAGACCAGAGTAACAGACTGTTGGTAGACCCCATTTGGACTCTGACTCGAGAAGGCGCTCGACGCCAATTTTTCGCCATTGCCCAATTTCGCCAATTTTTCGCAGGAGCTTACATCTAGTTCGAACTGGGTAGGAAAGTTATCAGGTTTGCTCACCATCAATCAAACTCACGATTTTTTTTTCCGAACTTGGTCTGAGTGAGGGGGAAAGGCTTAAAACAGGCTGAAACTTTTGTAACAGCGGGTATTGGGTGACATCATCTTACAGCGAAAATTTCAGCTCTTTATCTTCGCCCAGTCGAGAGAGCATGAGGCAGTAAAGGATACGCACGGATTGTGTCTTTTGATATCGGAGCTTTTAGTACAATGTGAATGTCTCTGCGAAGTAACAGTATTTTCCAATCGGCTTGGGCGAAAAATCTTCGAAGTTATGCCTCTACAACATATGCAAACATCAGCCAAATTGGTGAACGTCCATTGAGCATCGTCGGTCGTGCTCTACGTGGACTGGCTGTTATGTTTTGCTTACTGCACATCTGCTTTATCATGATAAAAAATGAAATAGGATCTACAGAAATACAAAGGTTTTAGACCTACTTAATTATATATATATTGTAAACACTTTTTGAGCGTCTGAAAGTTTTGTCATATTAATATCCGACATGATCGTTTTTCTGTTGTTTGAGACACAAAGTGGTAGAATGGAAAAATATAGAGCAATTTGATAGAGACTGTCGATGTATGCATTCCTTGCTTCTAGAGCGTTGAGACGTTTCGAGACTCTCAAAGATGAGCTCGAGTACATCAAAACAGCCCGTCAACATGTTACCACTCGTAAGGCGTCCATCACCGTCGATCAAGAAGCGAATGCAATCGGTAAAGGCAATGGTGATACAACTGCCGTGACAAGTCCAACCCAACGGCATAGTTTGATAGCGTCGCTGTCCCATGCCATGACAAGTCCAACCCACCGGCACAGTTTGATAGCACCGCTGTCCCGAATTCTACCTGAACGTGTACTCAAAAGAATACCCGAACAACGAACGCAACGTATGCAGTATAAAAACACCAACAATCTGAAAGTGGCCTTCAGTGAATTATATTTGATGCTCGTTCTATTACAAAATTATCAAGTACTCAATTTTACTGGTTTTCGTAAAATATTGAAAAAACATGATAAATTATTTCAAACGACCCGCGGTGAAGAATGGCGGTAGGTTAGCTTTGTTTTTATCCATTTCCTTTTCAGCGATTCTATTATCTATTATATAAACAAAAAGGAGTATTCTTTGTCAGCAATAATTTGTGAGGCAAATCTGCGAATTTCGTTATTTGAAAGACTACACGTAATTGAAAGACTTCCCCTGAAAGACTCCGAATTTTAAGTCATTCTTTACAAGAAGGAATGAAGATATTGCAAGTCTTAGACAAACATGCACAAGCTTTTGTAGAATGTACAAATATCTTCAAATATGTTGTCAAGATCTCACACACAGAAAAATAGATAAAAGCGATCACACGAACTTAATCTCCAAGCTTTGACCTGCAGTGTAATTTTTAGTTTAAGATTGAAATAAGTCGACAACTGTTAGGGTTTTCGCTGGATCAGGACCGCGATCGGAACCGGTTGCATACACTTCTACTCGGCTTACCGTGCGCATCCAAGCGGATATTTAACGAAAATCGAAAATGCAGTTTTCTCAATTCAGAAATGTCTGTATTCCAAACGAAGGGCATGTTTGGAATACAGTGGGTTGAAAAAATCGTTGGTCCATATCTATACTGTCATTCAATTTTGTCTGCCGTGTCCGAATGAAACAAGTCAGACAGCTCAAACACAGATCATCTTGTAGAACATCATGCCTAGTATATAGGCTATTACTTTCAGCATTTTATTTTCTTCCGTTCCTATTTTATTTAATAAACAGTAAACATATCTCGAATATTCCAAACGAAAAATTATTCGTCCAGATACAAAACACTGTTTTTATTCCAAACACAAAAACTGGTCTAACTCATATCTTGTTGGATAGCCTTTCATTTGATACATTCGTGCAATCGACTGGGAACTGAATCGACGAGTTTATCAAGTACAGGCAATTCAATTTTGTTTCATTCCTATAGTAGCTGAACTTCAAGATCTTCATCATTTTTTGGCTGGTGTTTCTTCATTCGGCGTTCGAGTTCATCCCGTAAATTCTTTATGGTGATGTCTAGGTCCGATGAATTCGACAGCCAAGGCAATGTCTGGATCTTTTTCTCTTTTAGTCCTGAATCAGAGTACATTTAGTTATATGATAAGAATCAGGACTGAAACTCCTATTCAGGAATTTCCAATCAAGAAAGACGTACCCGTTTCATGACTGAAATTTCTCACCAGAGATTTCAGTCATGAAACAGACTCTTAAATATTTGACGAGGGAACCGCTTTAGGTGTTAAATCGCTTTTCGCTCGGGACCATTGCCATTCGATAGGTCCTACTGAGTAGTGAAAAAGTCTAGAAGGGTTTGGGTGCATGGCTCTGCTGGACTGAGATATCGAATTATCAAGTTATGATCGAAATAGACTAAAATATCAAATTTTCAATTAGTAGACAGAGTAATGAATTTTTATCAAAGACATTTTTATCTCATCGAATGGGTTCTGTATATGATCCGTAATTTCAGCCAATTAGTGAGCTCACTAATGATACTTATCTGAATAGTAGATCTCACTTACATGACTCTTAAGATATTAATCTGAAATATTTCTCTGTACTAGTAGAAGCTTGCAACTTCGTTTTCTTCACAAAGAAGGCACCGATCAACTTTACATTCTCATAAGAGATAAATGACCTCACTATGTTTATGTGACAGACGTTTGAACTCATCAATAGCTTTCTTGAATAGTTCTTGCATCTAGCTTTTCAGCAAAAATTCTCTGATCAAAGAGAGTACACCAGCAAAGGATGATAACATCATGGCAGAACAGATCTTTTTCGGAAGGTGTTCAGTGAAAATGATATAATACGAAGAAATGATGAAAACAGAGAATAACTCCACAGTGACTGCATTGAATGAATGCGAAACCGTCACACAATGTGACATCACAGTAGATGTATTTGAAGTTGAAACAAACATCAGAGACCAATTTGAAGAGACTAGGATCAGTGTCTGTGTAGCCAGCTTTAAACCAAGCATTCTTGATCATAGGTGAAAAGACATCAGAAGAGAGTTGATTGTGAATTAGCGATTGAAGTTTTATCAAATTGTTTCTTTTCCCCATGTGAATATTAATTTCGTGGAGGATGACCCAGTCATAGATTCGACGGGAAGAACCTTGGGTTGACGATTGAAATAAATATCTAAGGGTTGTCGATAAGATGTTGTTTTTGCTGGAGTTTCAACACGAAAAAGACCTTTTATACCATCGTAGAAACCTTTATTATCACCTTGTCCATTCCAGCAATCAGGGATCAACAGAGTTGTCCCTGAAAGAGATGGACGAAGTACCTTGTCGACCCAATATGACACTAATGATATATTGACATTCTTAGACTTTTTTACGTTTCTTATAAAACTAAGTATATTTAATATAATTGAAAAACATTTTTGTAAAATCATTGTTGTTGCATGTTTTGGTACTGTTGACACTAATGATGTGGTCAATTTACCACTTGCGCGGCATGTTACAACAACGTTGCTAGCATTGAAGAGATTTTCTTTGATTCGATCACTCCTAAAAGTATTCAAATATCAGATTCATATTCGATGATGATTTGGATAAACGGAATATTTGTATAGAAATCAGTCAAACGCAGACTTGAACAGTTGAGTTCACTTACATTTGACCTTGGTTCTCTTTCAGACAAACAAACATTGGTCCAATTAATTTTCCTGATAGAGTAATAGTGGGTTGTATGAATGTATTGATTCGTTCTTCGAACGTGCTTTGACCATAGTGGTTTTCTCTCCAAGGAAACTCAATGTTCGAGACGATATCAGTTCTATTTCGCTCCGGCCAGCCATCTCTGCTACCGGAGTGAAATTCCGTAACGTTTTTTTTACATGTTGTTTTTCTTATAATGTTTGAGAAACGAGACGCCTAGAAATCTAGAATATCACAGATTAAAGAGAAAAGTGTGCTAAAGATTCTGAGATGTTCCTACAGTCTACACATTCTTTCATTCAGAAACTATGAGAAAAGTACAAACAC